CCTTGGGCACCTGGCATTGGCAATTTGGGGAGACAGGATAAGGGGCTATATGGATCTTAGGTCTGACCCAGTATGGCCATTCTTATGTTTTTATGTTAAGGGGATAGCTATACTGCAGAATGAACAGAGGGGGGCAGCAAGAGGACTGGAATGCAATTGGGATAGCAAAGAGCACGGGTGGAGAAAAGGAACAGCTATCTCCTATGTATTTCAAACAGTTTGTCTGTTTGTTTGTCTATTTGCCTGTGTGGCTGTCTGTCCTTCAGCTGGGGAAAATATACTCCTTCCCCAGGCTATTCAGGGGACAGGTGCTTCTCCCCGGGCTCCAAACTGCTGCAGTAAGAGAGCTAGGGTTGTCCTCTCTCCCTGGGGCAGCCCTCATACTAATCCTCTCATCTCCAATCCCAGCCCATCCCAGAAATATGATTTAAATGAAGAAAAACAAAATTTATGTGATTTAAGGACCTAAGCAATGCTGGATAAATCATACAGTATGTGTTATAATTAGGGATGTTAGAAATAACTCAGTAACTAAGTGAATGTTCATAATACTTCAAAAATGTTCTTAACAGTCAAGTATTTTACAGTAGCAAATGTTACGTTGACATACATCTACAGACACTGTGTAGCTGAGGCATGAATCCTATTTATTTGCATTATGTTAGGACCCAAAGGCACTAAGCAGGATGAGAGCTGCATAGTGCTAGACACTGAACACAGAGAGACAAACTCTGGTCTCTGAAACAGCTTATATTCTAGAGAGACACAAAACAGATATAGGTTTTGGGGTAAAGACCCATATAATCCCCCTATTTTGAAACTATGACCCTTGCTCCTGTCAATGTATTCTCATTCTTTCTACTCTGGAATCAATTGTTTTCTTGTTTCCATGCTTCTCCCCTATCAGTTAAAGCCTTCCATTGTATGGGGATTATGTCCATACTCCCAGAATGCAAATCAGCCTGTGTTACTGCTATTGTCTGATGTAGGAGGTGTCACAATGGCTTTTGTGGGCTTGCTCCACATCATTAGGTCCTGTATATTTTCCTCCAACTGATATGTAGATAATAAGAAATGCACAGCCTCAATTAATATGAAGTGATATTATTGAAAATGATATTTAATATGAATATACTATTTTCTTGCTATATGTATTTTTTCTGTTTTTTTTTTACAGAAAACAAAATAACACACAGCACTGCTTTGCTGAATAGGAAATCAACATTCAACAATACCTCTGTTATAACTTCAAATAAATGATAATCGTAAAAAGCAGATTGAAAGCATAGTATTGTTTTTGTATTTTCTAGTGTTTCTAAGAAAACCAGAATGAAAGCATTTCTTCGAGCCTTAAGTTTTAATTTATAAAATGGTGATTTTGCAATCACTAAATGGTTCATATTTTTATGATTTACAACTGTATTTAAATAAATCCATCTAATTTTACTAAAACCTCCCTTATAATCATAGACTGATCCCTTTTGCACGCTTACAAAATGATAACAGTGAGCTCCCCTGGACTACAAAGGTTTAGAAAAACAAATTGGGGTTTTCCCCCATGAATCCTAGCTGTTGGTTTTTTTAATCTGGATTTGTTTGGCTTTCTGATTCAAATCTATCATGTTTATGACCTTAAACTCAAAGTAAGAAAGACAGATAAGTCAATTCTTGACACTTCCCCCACAAAGACCAGACCATCTGGACTTTTTGTATTTGTAACAGGTGCTTTTGGGACTCAGAGCCTAATTTTGGCCCAGATTCCGTTCTGTATGGGTGACTCTGCTCCTATGTGCAATTGTGCTTTGCATTAATTGAAGAGACTGTAAAAGGCCAAGTACGGTAATTAGTCAGTTGGTCATGCAGAAAAAAGACTTGTGGCTGAGTGCCACTAAACATTGAATGCACAGATGTACAGAACCATCAACTTTTGCTCTCTGTGGTACCCAGCTAATCTATGGCAGGTAGAGCAAAAGATCTGTCTTAGTCCAGGTTTTTAGTCTCTTGGAAGCAATAACATAAATTTCTTAACCACTCGGAAGAAAATATGGTGTGTTTGACTGAACTGAAAACAGGCCACATCAGCAGAAAATCATGAAAATAGTAAAAACACCAGATGGGCCAAATATGCTAGTAAGGATTTTAGGTTTAAGGCTGAACTCGGATTTACCTAAAAATCAGTCAATGTGCATAAAGAAGTTCTGGAACTTGTACAATTCCAAACTTAGCAAAACACTCTTTAGTAATATGGTACATTTTTGTAAGCATGCTTAGCTCCCCTTTACTGACCAAATTAACTATTTTCTATCCTTCTTTTCCAAATATGTAAGTTATATTAGGAGCCTAGAATTACTATAACAATTTGTTCACAATAAAATTAACTTTACATATATGCCCCACCAGATTCCTAGATCTCAGTGAATCAGACCCAGGCATAACATTCCACACAACTGGCAATAAGAACTATAATCCTAAAGCCTCAATTTTGTAAAAGTCATACCAGAGTATAAAATATATCAGAAGGACAGAACATGTCCTGCTGATGGGGGAGTGGCACTATGCATGAAAGAAAATGTAGAATCAGATGAAGTAAAAATCTTAAATGAGCCAAAATGTTCCATAGAATCTCTATAGATAGTAATTGCATGCTCCACTAATAAGAATACAGCAGTAAGGATATATTATCAGCCACCTGATCAGGACAATGATAGTGACTATGAAATGCTAAGGAAGATTAGAGAGACTATCAAATTTAAAAAACTCGATAATGGGGATTTCAATTATCCCCATATTGACTGGGTACATGTTACCTCAGGATGGGCTGCAGAGATAACATTTCTTGATACCTTAAATCACTGCTTTTTGGAGCAGCTGGATCTGGAACCCACAAGAGGAAAGGCTATTCTTGATTTAGTCCTAAGTGGAGCACAAGATAATTGAAATCCTGTGCTCCACTTACAAATCAAGAGGTAAAATATATCTGGACCGCTTGGAAATAGTGACCATAATATAATAAAATTTAACATCCCTGTGGTGGGAAAAACACCTCAGCATGTTTTCAGGTTTGGGGCTTTAGTTCTTTTCTTCTTCAGATATCTTTTGTCTCACCCCCAATTCTAACGTGCTTGAGAGTGAACATTGGAGTGACCCACATCACACAATCAGTGTTTAAGGGGAACTTCTGACTGATTTCAGCTGTAAATTTATCTTATGAATTATATCAAATCTAACTCCCAATTTTTTTCTTTCTGAAGATTAGTTTAGCCATCTCCATACTTCTTTGATGGGGCTTAGGAACATAATGCTCTCTAGAAAGTGGTATGGAATTCAGTAGTGCTAGACCACTTTATTCCAGCAAAAGACCCTTACTAATTCTTCTCTCATTGTCCCCTGGAAAAATAAAGATTGTGGAGCGCTTTTTCTTTTGTCCTACATGGAAGAAGCCAGCCTCTTCCTGCTGTATAAGCCCTGGGGTTATAGAAGGAGGTAGCCTGCATTTCAAAATAGACAAATATTTCTTTAAGCAATACATTCTGAAATAGAATATTTAGAACTGTTCATTGTTATACCTTTAGAATATAGCTTTGCTGTGGGAGCTGCATCTTTAATAAAGAAGCCAACAGCAATTGAAAGAAGAAGCAAATTAGTTGGGCTGCCAATATTCTGAATTATTTTTCAGATCACAATGGAAGATTAAATTATGCCTGGTGAGTTAGAGAAAGAAAGCTAAGGGAAAAGGTTGGAGGAGAAAACTGACCCATAAAGTTAAGATTCTTTGATATTTTGAGATTATACATTGCCTTTCGGCTCTATCTACTTGTTTCCTTTACATGATCAGACAGGGGATTCAGGGACTCAAAGGGCTGATCATCCTGGAAAACTTCAGTGAGCATTGTGTATCTGAATTTCCAGAGATTATTTGTCACTTTATGTGGCATATTTCAGTCCTCCACCTAGTAATATGAAAAATTAAGCTTAGCGACAGTACAAGGAGATGATTTGTTACTGATTGAAACCAAAACCTCAGATCTTATTTTAAACTCATTGGTCTTGAAAGTTTCATACTATCCCTCTATTCAGCTAGATGTAGATATAGATATACACAGATACTTGTATTTTTTCAGTCATGATGCAGTTGCTGGGGATATATATCTATATAACTGTGGACAGATTCTCAGCAAATGTATCATGAGTGTAAAAATACTGATTGCTTCAGTCAGATGGTAGATATTAGGAGCTGTTTTCTTCTGCATAATATTCATTTGACACCAAAAATTTGCAGGCATTGCAGGATTCTGCTCTCAGCTAATACTAGAATGAAACTAATAAAGCTCCATTAAGGCAATTGAAGTTCATAGCAATATGCAAATAGGATAAGACTGACTATCATGAATTGCTGAGAGTGCACGTGATGATCAGGAAAAGCTAGCAGGTTGTAGTGTAGGCAATGAACAGTAAACTACAACCTCAGCTTTTATTTTTCAATCCTTTGCTCGACAAAGGTATTTGCTTTATTTTATCCATATCTGTAAATCAGAAAATATTAATACTAGTCTAATAATTAAAGTATAAAGGTATATATAGCTAAAATATTTTGTTACACTAGTATAAATCTGGAATAACTCCGTAGGTATCAATGTAATTATTCCAGATTTAAACATGAATATAAAGAAAAATCACGTTTTCAGGGTCTTGGCAAGAACTGTTGTCATATCACTCTATATTTTGGCTCTGCAGACTCACAGTTAACCAGCCCAAACACTTGGGATCTATAGCTATATTTAAAAAAAAATAACACCAGCAATTGCTCAGGAATACAAGCTATGTAGCTCCCTCTTTCAAATTCCTGGGCCATAGCAATTTTCATGTCCCCTCTGAAGACCACCAATGTCAGTGATTACCAGTGTCTCTTATTATTGTGTCACTGAAGTTATCCTTTATTAAATGACATCATTACTGATAACCCATCATGACTGCTTCAGTGCTTGACACCAGATGGCCATTGAATCAAGACCAGCACTTTGGTAGGTAATGTTTGCTCTCTAAACTTTGTTAAAAATTTTGGGCCAGCTATTCAGCTGGTATGGACCCATTGATTTAATTTACCAGCTAAGAATCTGTTATTTTTGGTTTTAGAGGTACCTTTACAAATCAAATAATAATAATTGGAAATGATTAGTCGTTATATATTTGTTAGGTGTTCCATATCCAAAATGGTCAACATGATATAATACCTAAACACAGTAATATCAAGAAAAAACCAATATGGCCTGATAGTAACCAGGGAAAAGTTACAGGAAGTTCATTAAACATATATTAGCAGACATAGATGAAACAAACATATGCAATTCTTTCAAAAAAGTACATCTAGTATGGAAACAATCTTGAATCTCACTTGAAACTGTGCCACAGTGATACAGTAATATGCACATAGGGAGAACATGACATGGTTCTGGGATCCGGATGGAAAAGGCCCTACTGTTTGTCTCTTCGAAACTACAATTTTTAATCCTACCTGACACATGATCAAGATTAGAGGTCCTGAAACAAATCTCTCAGAATAGCCTTGAATAGTGGGGACATTTGGATTCCAATCCAAACATCACAAACCAATCTCTAGCAGAGATTAGATATATATTTCCTTTGGTTCTCTTAAGTTTCCATGGCTAATTGACCTGGCAATCACTAGAAATTCAGAAACAAAACAAGTTTATTAAAATTTGGGATTCTTTAGATGGATAAAACTCAAATTAGTCTGAATGTCTAAATGAGTTCACATGATTATTCTTTATGTTTAAATAACCCATCTTATTGTTGCCATTGCTATTATCAGAAGTTATTTGTCAGTGCTTAATTTGTAATGAAGTGCCAAAGCTCAAGGAATTAGGGGCTGGGGCTCAAGCTATTTTTTTTACATTTGTAATTGATGCAGGAGGCCTATGAACGACCAAGCCTACAGGTGCTGGGATTCAGCTCTGACAAGCGCTGCTGCAAATTAGGCACTCTTATTATTAGCAACACAATATTTTATCACTGATGTTTAAAACATGGCCTTTCAAGAAGGCAGACTAGCAAACTCAGAGAGCTGGTTGGTAGAAATCTATGGGAAGCAAGTCTAAGTGAAAAGATTTCAAGAGAGTTGGGAATTTTTCAAAATGAAAATATTAGAGGCATAAGGGAAACTATCCCACTGCACAGAAAAGATAGGCAGTATGGCAAGAGACCATCCTAGCCTAAGCAGGAGATCTTGAATGGTCTAAATATAAAAAAGAGTCCTACAAAAAGTGGAAACTAGGTCATATTACAAAGGGTTAATTTAAACAAATAACATAAGTATGTAGGAATAAAATAAGAGAAACCAGAGCACAAAACAAGTTCATACTAGCTGGAGACCTAACGGGTAACAAGAAAACATTCTACAAATATATTGGAAGCAAGGGAAAGACCAAAGATGGGGCAGGGCAGGGTGGAGGAGTAATAATAGAATGCTATGTGGAAATGGCAGAGGCGCTTAATGACTGTTTTGGTTTTCACCAGAAAGGGTGGTGGCTATTAGACATCCAAAATAGTGAATGCCAGTGAAAATGAGGTAGGATCAGAAGATAAAAGAGGAAAAGAATGTGTGAAAATGTGCTTAGACGAAAAAGATGTCTTACAGCCACCACAGCCTGATTAATCGAATCCTAGAATAGTTAAGGAACTAATTGAGAAAATATCTGAGGTATTAGCTATTAGCTATGTAAAAGATTCCAGAAGACTAAAAGAGGGCAAATTTAGTGCCTATCCATAAAAAAGGGAAATGAGAACACCTGGGAATTACATACCAGGCAGTGTTACTTCAATCTGGAACATTAATGGAGAAAATAATGAAGAAATCAATTTGCAAACAAAGAAAACAATTTGTTTCACGAGGCGTACAGATAGTTCGGAATGGCTTGCTAGTTCGAACTATCTAGCCCGTGCCGCGTGTAGGCGCGCGGCACGGGGTTCGAACAAGCCGGCATTTAAAAATGGCGCCGGCCGGCTTATGCAAATGAAGCCCGGGAAATTCAAATCCCGGACTTCATTTGTAAGTGCGGTATGCCTACATTACCACCCTAGTTCAAACTAGGGTGGTAGTGTAGACATACCCCAACATTTGGAATATTTCAGTTAGGATAATCTAGCTATTTACCAAATATTCCCCGTACCCCCTTGACAAGCTTCTCATACCCCCTAGGGGTATGAGTTTTCCCAGGTTGGGAACACTTGGTCTAGATAATACTTTGTCCAGCAGTGAGTTCAGGGGACTGGACTAAATGACTTCTAGAGTTCCATTTTCTGATGGGTTGGATCACAGAGACCCCCACAAGACTGTCACTTGATGGGCTGATCATACTGCTGAGCCCACCTACCTGCCATATGTGGCACCTTACCATCCTGTTCCACTAAGCCAGAAGCTCTGGTCTCCCCCAGAAAAGGCACAGCATTTGGGTAATGCAGACACTGATAATAGCTCAATTTTGGGAGGGATCATTTACATACAGCATACAGGAGAACAGCCCTAATGAGACCAACAACCCAAATAAATCCATCTTACTCTGTATAAAAGTTTAACACAGAGAAAGCTCATAAATTGTTTGCTCATAAAAAAGAGAGTTAGCCAGTTGTTCATTCTCCCTTCCCCCTCCGACCTCCTTCCCCCGGCTAGGTAACAATTATTTACACTGCATTTGATAATAAACCAAAGTGATTGTATTAAGTAAAAAAGGTAGGATTAAAGTGGTTGCAAATTATGACAGACAGATCAAAGTAAGTTATTAAGTTAAAAAACCCCACCAGCTAAGCCTGAATTACTAAGAAAAATTGTTTCAAATCATAATTTATCACACTAGTCCTTATTTCAGGTAAAGTTCTTCAGGCCAGAACTGATTTTTTTCCTGCCCTGGGTCAAATAACTCATCTCCACCCTTAATGTTAGATTTATTTGTTTCCCGGTGCTTTCATATATCCTTTCAGAGTCTGTGGAGCTACATGAAGACAGTCATTGTTTGCTTCCCATCCCTTAAACAGAATTTCCTGGGGAAGAACTCTCTTCAGGTCTAGAGCACCAGGCCATTACGTCCCTTAAGTACCACTAATGACTTTTATTACAAGACCTAGATTAATAAACAGGTTTGCACTTTATATTTCTAACTTCACATGCAGGTAAGATACATCCATACAAATATAATATCCATATTCAGGAGGCTAAAAGCTCTTGAATAATAGGTAACTTGCCCTGTTTTGCGTAAAGCATACTCAAGTTATGTGTATTCATATTTAAAATATATTTCCATACCAAATATGGGAGCACATTATCATACCTTCTAATTCTATGTTACTAGTCTATGATTCTGTGGTCTGTAATTTACATGTGCCAGAGTAAACTGAAAGTATCCCCAACTTATCTTTTACCATTTTAAAACTAAAGTGAGTTTGGATTCAGGCACCATATATTGAATTAGAATATATTTAATTATATTTAACATTCTGTTTTGCCTTTGCTTAAAGATAACGCCATTTATTACTGAATTGCAAACAACTGTATTTAAAATGCATAATGCAGAAGTATTTAAGCAACAGGACATGAAGTTTATTAAATTAAATATTGTATAAGTGTTATTCTAATGAACAAAATGTATGTGTCATTCAAAAACTGATAGATGAACATAAAATGAAAAAATATTAATTTAATATAAAATCAGTTTCTGTAAATTTTAGCAATTAACAGGAGGACCAGATTCTTCTTACAGCTTGATAAGTGTAAATCAGTCACTTCCGTTGCATTAATCTGGATTTATACTGGTGTCACTGATAGCAAAATCTGTATTAATAAATCAAAATTATACAAGCAGCGGCAGTTACCTTACTCCAAATAAATGGATAATTTACTAATTTAGGTTTCTAAAATAATTTTACCCATATAGATTTACTGAAAGATTTACTATATTTGCTAGGTATAAAAATAATGTTTACCATTACTGTACTTTGAACTCATAACTAAATGGTATATGTTTAATTCTGTGTTCCATGGCCTTCTGCTTCAGAGGTGCTTAAAGAGACTTCACTTCCATTTTCAATCTGATGATATAACAGGCCAAACAAATCTCAGAATACAGCCTCCCCCACACCACCCTCAGAGGGTGCAGCAAAGTGACAAAATGCTTGACTTCAAGGATGGCAAGTGGTTAAACAACGGCAGCTCTTTCCATCCACTTCCCCCTTCCTCGAACAAAGTGCAGCATAATCAAGATCTCAGAAAGGAGAATCAATTTCTTCGAGAAGAGAATCAAGTCCTCCGGGAAGAGAACAAGGCTTTCCGTGTGGAGAATAAGGTCCTCCACAAAGAGAATCAAGAACTTCAAGAAGAGAACACAGCTCTTTCAGAGGAAAACAAGATCCTCCAGGAGAGGAAAATGGGTTCCTTTGAAGAGCAAAAGGTTCTTGAGAAGCAAGAAAAGGCCCTTCGAAAACAGAACAAAGCCCTTTGGGAAGAAATCAAGGCTCTCCAGGAACAGGATATAGCCTTCAAAATGGAGGAAAAAGCACTTCAGGAGGAAATTTTGGCCTTGTGGGAGGAGAACAAGGCCTTTCAAGAGCTGATTAAGGCTCATGGGAAGGATGATATAGCCCTAGTTCTTGAGGAAGAAGAAGAGGCTCTTCAGAATGAAAGAAAAGCCCTCCAAGGGGAAAAAAATGCCCTTCATGAAGAGAACAAGGCTCTCCTTGAGGCAAATAAGGCCCTTCAAAAGGAAAAGGAAGCCCTCAATGAGGAGAAGAAAGCCCTCCAAGAACTGAAGAAGGTACTTCATGGGGAGGAATAAGTACATCTGGGAATAGAAGTATCTCCAGCAGGAGAAATAAGAACTGTATGCAGGATGGTGACTTAAAACTGCAACCAGATAATGGTCCAGTTTGCCTACTAGAAGAACATCATGAACAAAGGGAGATAACTGTTTGTAGATAAGTAAGTTGGGCTCTGTACTAAGACCTAGAAAGTACACACATGCTGAAAGAAATTAGGTTTCTGCATTCTTGATCCCAGAAACTAATAAAGTCCTGCTGGAGGTGTGGAATGTGATGCATGAGACTGCTGTTTTATTTATAAATTAGTTCAATTTTATTTACAATTGGAAGAATACAATTTGAGTATTGAGGTGAATGTGCTGTTAGTGGGTTTATATTCTGTTGATACTTGTGTAGCCCCTCTGCTAGGCAGTGCCAGCTGCAGTCAGGACTGGGTTCAATATCTAGGGGTTCCTTTTCATCCATCCCACACAGAATTGGCTCAAACCCCCACCCAGTAACCTGGGAAATTCACACACACCCTTGGGTGCTGCTGAGAGGAAATGCTTCCCCACTCGCAAGCACAGAGTTTGTGCATTAAAAAGAAACTTTTTAATGAAAAAGGGAATGAAGTAACATGGCATTAACTTGGGAAAACACCACAGACATAACCTCTCCCCGAGTTACGAATGAGTTACGGACCAAACACTTGGCCATAACTCAATTTGTTCGTAACTCGGACCCCATTGAGTTACATAATGACCACGCTTTTCATAAGCGTGGGTCGCATACATAACTCGGGAACTGCCTTTACAACCGCTTCATGGGAGCTTTGGTCTTAAATGCAAATGGTTGTAACTCGACCATTCACAACTCGGGGATCAGCCGTAGCTCATAACCAAACCATGAGTAAACGTCCCAGCTCGAGTGGATTGAGCAATGTCCTTTGCCTTTCAGGCTCACAAGAACAGCAATGTAAGTGTCCCATTCACATGCCCAACCTTTCCCTGTACCCCACCCACTGTTGCTGCCTTGGTCAGGGCAGACCTGAGCTCAGAGGTGCTTTGCAGAGCTCACTTCCCATCCCGGAGGGGGTGGTAGGAGGGATCTCACCCACTCCATGGGACACTGGCCACTGCTCCTACCAGCTGCTCCTGCTGGTCATTGCCTCCTACCAGACACTCTGCTGTCCACCTGCTGCTTATGAGTTTGGATCTGGGCAAAATCTAGTGATTTTAGCTCTCTGTGATTCCCGCTTCTCGGTGATTTCAGCTCTTGACCCACAGCACAGGCCAGCAGAAAATAAAGAGGTTCCATAGAGAGCCTGTGTTAGTTCTATCATTAGTACAGGGGAAGAGGGGAGAGAGAAACAGGGTGAACCAGTCGTAAAGCTCATGCCTGGGGTGCTGGTTTAGAGCTCAGCTCTGTTCTCCCCCGCCCCCCTTTCAATTCACTTGACTCTGGACGGGAAAGGCTTGTCCATCAGAGATTCTTTACAATGACAGTGTCTCTCCTGCAAGCATTGGTGGTCATATTTTACAATTCCTACATTTAGGGTTAACATGGTTTGTGACCCCACAACAGCCAAATTAGTTACAATAGGCAAAATACCATTCTAACAACTGACCATCCATCAGGCCCATAGCACTGACTGAATTAGATTTACATAAGTACACCCAGGATTTCTTTCTCATTCCACCATGAACTGTATTTACATAAAAGCTGTTGAATACCTTGCAGGGCTAAACATAACCACGCCCAGGATTCCTTTCCCATTCCAGCCGGCTGCATTGGAAGCATTGATTCAGATCCTGCTTACACTTGCTTTCCAAAAATATACTCTAGCATTGATGGCCAAAACAGTGTTTTTTAGTGAGAAGATAGTAAATGGTCCTGGAAAAAAGATTCTTTGATTTTGTGACTACTGAGTTTTTGGATGAAGGATGGGCACAGGTCACTCTGCCGTACTTCCATTCTTTCAGTGCAGATACTATGGCTATGTCTACACTGGCATGATTTTGCGCAAGAACTCTTTTGCGGAAGAGTTCTTGTGCAAAACTCTTCCAGAAGAGAGCGTCTACACTGGCATGTGCCTTTGCGCAAGAGATGTGCTTTTGCGAAAGAGCATCCATGCTAGTATAGATGCTCTCTTGCACAAGAAAGCTCTGATGGCCATTTTAACCATAGGGTTTTCTTGTGCAAGAAATTCATGGTGCCTGTCTACACTGGCCTCTTGCGCAAGAACAGTTGCGCAAGAGGGCTTATTCCTGAGCGGGAGCAACAGAGTTCTTGAGCAAGAAGCCCTGATTTCATACATTAGAACATCAGTGTTCTTGTGCAAGAACTCGCAACCAGTGTAGACAGGCAGCAAGTTTTGGCGCAAAAGCGGCTGCTTTTATGCACGATCGCGTCAATGTAGACACAGCCATTTAGTAAAGAAATCTGTTTCTGAGAAAAGTCAAAACCAGATACTTTATAAGAAAGGAAAGGAACCCTGTAGTGACAATGTCTCCAGAACTTGCCTGTTTGAGAAATTTCTTCATGATTTCCACAGTTAGGTTTTGGCTTGTCTCCTTATATTCCTTTTAAAATTTCCAAATCCCTTTCCTCAGGGATTAGAACACATGTGATAATATGAAACACCAAGGCTGTGTCTACACTACCCCCCTTTTCCGGAAAAGGGATGCAGATGCGACAAGTCGGAATTGCAAATGCAGCGGGGATTTACATTTTCCCTGCTGCATTTGCATGAACATGGCTGCCGCTTTTTTCCAGCTCAGGGCTTTGCCAGAGAAAAACGCCAGTCTAGACAGGGATCTTTCAGAAAATAAAGCCTTTTCCGAAAGGTTCCTTATTCCTCTGAAAATCAGGAATAAGGGATCTTTCAGAAAAGGCTTTATTTTCTGAAAGATCCCTGTCTAGACTGGCGCTTTTCTCTGGCAAAGCCCCGAGCTGGAAAAAAGCGGCAGCCATGTTCATGCAAATGCAGCAGGGAAAATGTAAATCCCCGCTGCATTTGCAATTCCGACTTGTCTCATCTGCATCCCTTTTCTGGAAAAGGGGTGCAGTGTAGACACAGCCCAAAAGATAAAGACAGTGACTTGTGATCATTTCCAGCCAAGGTGTTATCGTTCAAGTTGTCTTTCCATATTTCCCATATTTCCGGTGGTCCCATAGCCTATTCAGTATTGTTTACATAGAGATGCAACAGTGGTACAGAGTCATGAGAAATTGCAGTCAAACTTGTTAATGTCATTGTGTCATAGCACAGCGAGGGCATGGCCACACTAGGAAATTACTTCAAAATAACTTATTTTGAAATAACTCCTGAAATAACTATTTCAGAATAAGCATTATTCCTTGAGGAAAGCAGAAGATTCAAATAACCAGCCCCTTATTTTGAAATAGCAGGTTTCGTTGTATGGATGCTCCACTTGTTATTTGGAAAGAAGGAGAGTTATTTCGAAATAACTCCTTAGTGTAGACCAGGGCTGTCAGCACTCATTTCACTACTTTGTGGTTGATATCCCATAGAGAGGCACAAAAAGCAAACACATATGAGTAAGATGGGGAAATGAGGTGAAAGTCCTCTCAAAGGCTACATCTAGACTACAGGCTTCTTTCAGAAGAAGCTATTTTCAGAAGAGATCTTCTGAATAAACTTCTTCTGAAAGAGATTGTCCACACTGCAAAAGTGTCCAGAAAGCTAGGCTGTGTCTAGACTGGCAAGTTTTTCCGCAAAATCATCTGCTTTTGCGGAAAAACTTGCCAGCTGTCTACACTGGCCGCTTGAATTTCCAGAAAAGCACTGACTATCTTATGTAAGATCGTCAGTACTTTTCCAGAAATACTATGCTGCTCCCGTTCGGGCAAAAGTCTTTTTCCGAAAGACTTATGCGCAAAAGGGCCAGTGTAGACAGCACAGTACTGTTTTCCGCAAAAATGCCCCAATCGCGAAAATGGCGATCGGGGCTTTTTTGAGGAAAACCACGTCTAGATTGGCCATGGACGCTTTTCCGCAAAAAGTGCTTCTGCGGAAAAGCATCCTGCCAATGTAGATGTGCTTTTCCAAAAATGCTTTTAACGGAAAAGTTTTCCATTAAAAGCATTTTCGGAAAATCATGCCAGTGTAGACGTAGCCATAGTGTCCACACTGAATGGATGCTCTCTCACATGTAAGCTGTGATTACTATGGATGGAATGGCCACCAGGGCACCTGTGCTTTTTCCTCTTTCCTCTTCTTTCGAAAGAACTCAGTCTTCCCTGTCCACACATGCCTTTTTGTGAAAGAGCTCTTTCACAAAAAAGCTTCTTCCTCATAGAATGAGGATTATCAATGCCAGAAAAACTCCTCTGTTCTTTCGATTTTCTTGCGGAACACAATTGTCAGTGTGCATGTTCCTTGAGTTTTGTCCAAAAACCAGCCCTTTTTTCCAACAAAACTCTGTAGTGTAGACATACACAAAGACTGAAGTGGCAACAGATTGGTCATATTATCAAAATTGTCATAATTACTTTTAAAGGAAAACAGATAATGGAATGGAGAAAAATGGCAGTTAGCGAGGGTTACTCAGAACAGAGGGGTCAGCAACTAGCCTTTGCAGGATTAATATTCACTTTTAATCAGGATGAAGGAGCAAGACAATAACTCCACAAGACAGTGCACCAATGCTGATGCTTTTGTATTTCAAAAACACAGCCTTTGCTTCATAATTGCTTGAAGGGTTATTTCCATTTTGAGGTTGTGTGTTTAAATAATGAAGAAATATGGCACTCTAATTTGTCTTTATAATATTAATAAGATTAAATTTATTACATGCAGAGAAATTAATTATCTTCTTAAATACATTATGTTTAAAACATTAGTAAATTATCATGCGTAATTGGAGACTTCAAGTATGATTAACAGCATTTAAAAGTATTTTAAGTAGGCTGTTTATTTCTTGTGAAAAATTAAATACCACTGTGGCACTACTGGTGGTGATGAAGCTTCAACTTAATGTATACCAACAGCTGTATATTTGAACAAAATGTATCACTGATAGAAAGGGTTGACCCTGCCAGACACCGAGGATTGCCTGGTGAGTACTGAGCACCTTATGCTCCCAAACTCACATTAGGCTCTCATTTTAATTAGATCTGTAGGGTTATTTATTTATTTATTTATTAAATCTGTAGTAGGGAGTTGGGCAGGAGGGAGAGGAAAAGACTGGCTGGCTTTAGGGAAAATACTGTTGTTGCTTTCTTGTCTTCATTCTAATTAAATTCCTTGATTAATGTTAGAAAATACCATCT